TATAATGGTTCGGCTTGGGATAAGTCTACATCCACTCTTCCATACTAATGTCCACTAATTAAGGCTAGAATTCGCTAGTAGCTCTTGAGATGTTACAAATATAGCTTATGCTGCTTCCAATCCAAGCTGGTAGATCACACTAACATGAATGCACGCACTACTACAATACTTGTACACATCTCAAAAGATCAACTATCAGTGTATCTCAAAGAGCAAAATCAATTTATCACAAAGCGTATAAAGCATTCTTTGCAATTCTTGTAATTCGTCCCTCTTTGTATATCAACATTGGCATGCGTTGGTCCTTTTTATAGACATCAATCTTCAAGTTGACCGTTTGAATAATCAATGTAGCCGTTGTAGATTCCAATAAAATCACTTGAGATTTGGTTGCTCGTACAATTAGATCTTCCAGCAATCTTGCCATTTCCAAGAATAGAGTCTCCGAGTTAGGAAATTATCCTTGTACAACGGTATGATGAATAATAGATTGGATTCACTTCGAAGAAAATAAATGTGTAATTCTAGGCTTGTGATTGGCTATCAGATTCCTTTGAATGCTTAGTAACGATCAAAGAAATTCCGGGCTTCATAATGTCGCTTGTCTAGTAGTGATCTTCTTAGTTTGATATAAGTTGTAGCTTCCATCAATTATTCTTGGTTCTGCCAAATGGTATAGCTAACAGTTGTTGTGTTTATCGAACTCCATCGATTTTTCTCGAGCACACATATGAATTTAACTTCCTCAAATTTGTTCACTTATTGGTTTCTCCAAGTCTTCTCGAACTCTTGTTCTCTTTGACATGTTCACCCTTAAGGTCATTCCACTCTTTCAGATTCTTCCACTTAATATCAAGGATAGTTTCAATGGTGTTGTGTCATCAGTAGTCAACTGAACAAAAACAACACTTCCATCTATCAAACTTCACAAGAGATAGTTTTGTCATTATTAAAATCCTTAGGAGTTTTCTCAACAATCTCTCCTTCTTTGATAATGTCAAAACTATTTACTTGTATGCAGATGCGACAAACATAAGTAATTTGAGATTTGATATACAATAAAATAAAATGTCAATTGCTTTTGATTTAATAAGGATGTTATTGTAAAAACAAGCAATTGATGTGGTATGTAAAAACAAGTATTGGTATCGACGAGTAAGATCTAGAGACGATAGAAACACCATATGATCAGAGTTGAGTATATGTTTCTATATGGTGATTATTAAGCGACAGTGATATGAAAATTGTGCAATCATTTTTAGAACAGATTTTAATCCAATTTAGGAAAGCAAAAGCGAGTAGAAACGAGTTAGAGAGTGAGTAGCGAGTAGAGGCATCATTTTGCTTCCCCACCCCGCTCCCCCGTTTCGTTGTTTATATCAATTGTTCTTTGTTGCATCTATCAGCTTTTAAGCTCCTTCGCAATCCTCATATACTTGTAGTTCTCATCTCGATTCATCTGCATGTCTCACGTATCTTTCTCCCCCATTTTGTCATAGTTAAAAGTCCTAAATATGCAAGCAATCACAATACTAAAATCATCGTTACAAACCCAAATAGTTATAGTCAAAGTACCAAATCAACCATTACAAAATAGAACATATAAATATTCAGCAACAACATTCAACATTAGAAATCATCCTCTTCTTCTTTTCTTGAAGGATGAAGGTGATATTAAGAGATCAAGATTTGCCTCAAGTGCGTCATAGCACTTCATGGAATGAAGAGTCTGCTCAATTTTGTTCAGATAACGCCCAAAACCAATCTTCATGGTTTTTCAGAGAATTCGCCAGTTTTGTCATCTGTTCCATGAGGCTTTTGACATCTTTTTTTCAACTCACTTAAGTCAAACGATTCTTTTCGCAATTCTCCTCCTCTAGAAAACTCCCCCTGAGTCTTATTTTCCTCTTTCTTTCTTGCTAGAAATCTCCTCTTAAGGTTCTAAACCCTTCCATCTCTTCTTCTATATCCTTTCCGGCAATTGATGAAGATTGTGGTGCTTGCTGTGTCTTGCTTAGATTAGTAACATTTTTAGTTTTCTTCAGCGGAGATACAATCGCCTTCTTCTTTCCTTTTGCAGTACTAGAAATAGGAATGTTTGACTTACCTTACTTGCTTCATTCTACCTTTCTTTTTTGTTCCTTGTTTCTTCGAGAGAGTTTCCTCTAGAACTATCCTAGCCAATTCATCATCTCCATCTCCAACTTCCGCAACTTAGTTCTCAACATTCATCCATCTCGTCATAGTGGCCCTTAGATGCATTTTTCTCATGGTCTTTTTTCCTATCTCCATATTGACTAGGGGTGAGCATGGTCCGGGTTAGGCCGGTCCACCCCCTAACCCTAGGACCAACCCGCACAGTGTTGGTCCTCAATTTTGGGACCGAGGACTGCCCGTCGGTTCCATGGACCCGCCCGGGAACCGGACCGCCGGTTCAGATCTGGGGCCACCGTCGGTTCTGTTTTTTTTTTTGGTTTTTTTACAGCTTTTTCTATTTTTATTGTTATTTTTGCTGACGTGGCGCCACGTGTCTCAAGAAAAATAATTTAAAATGACACGTCAGCGCCACGTCAGCGTTTTCCGTTAGTAAATCTAACGGTGTTAACTTTAGGACTCAAATGAACCATTTTGACAAGTTTTAGGACTCAAATGAACTTTTTGTAAGTTTTAGGACTCAAATACACTTTTGTGATAAGTTTTAGGACTTGTAGTGCACTTATCCCTTTATAGAAATTAAAGTTGGGCTTCCTTTGGCAGTAGAGTAAAGCCTCTAGAGGAATCAATCCAATTCCTTTAACCAGTTCTAAAATTTCTTCCTTTGAGGTTCCTTTCTTTCTCAAACTTTCTAATTTATTTTTTATTACTCCTTCGATATTGACGTTACCTGAAGGAGTTGCAGGATCCTCTTCTATCATTGAGGGTTTCTCCTTCGGAGGAGGCATTGTACTAGAACTTCCTTTTCGGCGTCGGATCAGCGGTGTTTCCCCACTCTCTGTTTTAGACTCGTTACTTATCTCTATGAGATTAGCCTGTATGATTCCTTCAGAGGTCGCGAGAATACTAAAGCTATTCCGGAAGATTTTCGAACTCCTGAGTACTTCCTGCGAGCAATATGCTTTTTGACAAGAGCCATGGATGATATTGAGAAGATTGGATTTAAATTTAGAGCAGAGAAGGAGCGGTTTTCCAAAAAGGAATGGTTCTAGGGTACAATTTGGAGAGAGAGAGAGAGAGAGCAACAAATTAGGGCACAATTGGTATTGAACAGTAGTGAAGATTCAGAAGTTAGGGATTCAATCAAATATGGTAACTATCATTTAATAAGGGCACAATTGTCACGTTATCTGACCACATTTCTTTGAGAGACCAACATCCAATCGAAGTAGATGGATATATATATATTCATCAGGTAGCTCGTCGTACTAAGTGCATTCGTTAGAAATTTCTTAGCCATATCAGCACAAGAGAGCATCTTATAGGCTATTTCTAGTAACATTCTGCTCGTCAACTCTGCAACCTTTGTAATGTACTAGCACTATTGCGGTGACTCATTACGCCTTCCCTCATTCAAAATTCATTTAATAGCTTTGAGCAAAACTCTATGCCACTATTTTGTCCGCGTATGCTCGATCATCTTACTAGCTTCCTTTTCGATTGACTGTCTATCCCGACAGTAGCATCAAGCTTGTGCCTTAGCACGAATGCCTAGATCCACCTCAAGTAGTCATCCACAATTGTAAGCAAAAATTTGGCAGCCTACAAACATCTAAGTGAATTACCTTACCAAAAAAAAAAAACATCTAAGTGAATCAACGCTATAATCTTCCTAATTTCTCTTATAGTCGTACTCAAGTACACTTTCCATTGTTTGCGTAAGTCGTAACACCTGAATACATTTGGCTCTTTAGTAACATAATTGTTGGGAAAACCTCCTATAACAATTTTTTTTTTGCCCACCTACATCTTAATTCAAAGCATGTGTATCACAAATCACCAATGTGGTTGGCCTAGTAATTAATGGGTTGCTAGTCCATCACGAGATCACGAGTCGATTCACGTCATGGGTGTGGGCCTTCTAACAACTTATGTTGCGTTGCCTAGCCGTGAGACATCTCGTCCAAGGAGGCTTCACCAGCTACCAAGCATCTTGAGGGCCGAGGTGATGAGCTAGCCAACTTCGAGCATTCGAGTCACGGGTGGCGCAGAGCAATCATGGCTCAAAGGGTCGCCGACACCGATCAGCCCTTCCCACCCCAGATCACGAATAATACAAAAAAAAAAGAAAAGAAAAGAAAAGAAAAGAAGATGAACTGGAATGCGCGTGTGCCAAGCCGGAGCTTATTTCGGGGTCAACCGCGGTCAATGCTGCACGTGTTTCAGCTCTGTTCCGGCTGCAAAGTGGGGGCGGGAGGCGTCAGGTCTCCCCGGGGGGGGGAAAGGGCAAATGCGGAATTTCCTGGTGGGGGGGCCCCACCCTTATCTAGTTTATTACAACATGGCTATAACTGCTAATCAAACCACCCCCCAAACCATGGTTGAGCAAGTGGAAGTGAAATTAATTCGTTTTTTTTTTTTTGTAATAAAAAGTGAAATCAATCAAAAAAAATTTAAAAAAAAAAGTGAAATCAATTAATATTTTTTTTTAAAAAAGGGTGAAATTAAAATTTATTTTTTGGGTCGAAGTGAAATTAATTAACCCCCACGCACTTTTCCCCTCCTTTTTTTTTTTGTTCCTTTAAACTCCCGATGGTCAACTCGACCCACCAATCCCCGAGCCCCGGTTGAAAAACAACAAAGAGAAGGCTGTCTTGATCTCCCCGTGCCATTTTCATGGACGCATACAGACAGAGGAGAGAGAAAGTAAGAGAGAGAGAGAGAGAGTGACCTTTAAATCGTGATCCTCGTATTCCCCCACTGTTCCTAGAGAGAGAAAGCACTCCCCAAAGGGAAGAGAGAGAGAGAGGAGGGGGGCGGTGGTTGTCGTCTGGTCGGTGTAGGGAAAGATTGCGGGGGCGGGCGGGCCAAAGCTCCGGCGTTCCGTCCCAAGAGGAGCTCAACATTCCACCATCTCTCTTCCGCTCCCTCTCCCTCGGTGCGTAGCCGTCGGGCCCTTCGCCGGCGAGGCCATTTCCGGCCGACCCGCCTGAGCTCCCCCGCCGGCGGGTCAAAGCACCCGTCTGTCGACCCTTGAGCTGCGGCTGCGGCTGCATCTGGGTCTACCTCCTTCCGGTGGCTTTTCGCGCGGAGCTTTGATTCCTCTAAGCCTTCTTTTCGCTGTTCCGCCGCCGCCGCCGCCGCCGCCGCCGCCGCCGCCGGTGCCGTGGAAGTTTTCGCGGGGGAGTTTCTCTCTCGCCTGATCGGGGAGCTCGACGCGAGCTTGCCTCGGGAACTTACCCTCTCCGTTGCGTGTACTCCCGTGCCGCGTGCGGCGGTTTGTGTGAGCTTGGGGGGGAGAAGAAAAGTACTCGCTTTGCAGCCGGCTGAAGCGTCGCCGTTGGCCGAGGTTGTGTGCTCTCGCCGGAGATGATCGAGAACCGGTATGTGAAGAAGGCATTGAGCTATTGCTAGGCGGTTCGGTTCCCGTCCGCCCCAGGTAAAAGGAAGGGGGAGAAGAGTCGTCGGAAAGTAAGTGATGAAGACCCCGGCGAGCGGTGCCGGTGCTTCGTCGGCAGCCGCCGCCGCCAGCCCGTGCGAAGGTACTCTCTCTCTCTCCCTCTCTCTCTCTCTCGCCGGAGCTTCCGGTGTTGAGATTTGCAACTTTGACTTTGTTTTCTCTTCGGCCGATCCGTTTCACTTTCTCGGGAAACCACGGGAAAGTGACGGGAAAAGAAGGAACGGCGATCTGAGAGAGATCAGTGTTGACACATGGCAGCAGGTGGCGGAGAGAAGAAGAGTGTGATAAATCCGGAGCTGTGGCAAGCTTGCGCCGGCCCGTTGTTGAACTTGCCGCCGGCTGGGACCCACGTCGTCTACTTCCCTCAAGGCCACAGCGAACAGGTTTTCCCTCTCTCTCTCTCTCTCTACTTTTGTTTTCTTTCCTTTTTCGTGTTCTTTGGTTGTTCCACCTATCTAGTTTAGACTAGTTGTGCATTGTAATAATCTAAGTTGCCACACTCAAAATCTGAGATTTCCCAGTTGGGATTGCCACCTTTCAGTTCATTGAACATGTGGTTGCATCGATACGACAGGCGGATTCATCGAGAATACATGTCTAATTGGCCTCGTGTGTGGTTCTGATTTTACGGGCTTTCATGCACTTCCCTTTACGTGGTGATTCAACTTGGCCTTACATGCGCTTTCTTCATGTGGTGATTTGACCTGGCCTTAACATGCTCATAGCAGCAAAAATGGGAAATTGATTGAAAAAAAGAGAGAAAAAGGAGGAAAGAAACATGGTTTGTTGATCGGGTTGAGCTGCTTTCCGCAGAAACTGGCGTCTTTGAGTTTGTGACAACTTTTAACCCTTTTCACCGAGTTTACTTGTGAACCTGTCTAGCTGTTGATCCATCTGATCTCTATCTTTATACTGCTTAAGTAGAGTGCTCATTTTGTGGTTCTTGACTCAAATGAGTTTGGAATCCAATTGAATGATTGACATTGCATGACTACAAAGTCTCTGACTAGCTTTAAGTTTTTGTTAAATATTGAAGACTTAGAATGAAAGTTCTCTTTTAGCTAAAATGGTTGTAATGGAGTTGGAAAGGCGACTCAATTACAGCATGATGAAGTTGGGAAGGCGTCTCAATTACAGCTTTAAGTGTCTCGAGTCTATCTTCTTTTGTCCAGTATTTCTTTTAGTCAACCTCTGGCATGAAAGAAAACTTAATTCAACTAGAGTTAAGGACTAAAGTTGAGGTTTTGATGATTTCGAAGGGGTCTATCTTGAGTAGCTTGTCGTGTTAGTTCCTCTTCTTTCGATTGGGTAATGCTAGGGATGTTAGCTACGCCTTACAAAATTTGGTCTACCAACTAACGTGGCAAACTTAGATCAAGAATTTAAACAAGTGAATTTCATACAAGCGCTCAATAGAAGTCTGCTGTGTCACTTTGTAAGCCAATCTCAATGTCCAACCAGATATGATTGTAAATAGAACTGATGATTGGTACCAGTGCACCTTTATCGCGGCTATCGTGTACTATAGAGAGCCATCCGCCCGATCTCCAATGCAGTTTTGTTGCTTCAGGTTGCAGCTTCTATGAAGAAAGATGTGGACGCTCAAGTGCCAAACTACCCAAATCTTCCCTCCAAGCTGCTATGCCTACTTCACAGTGTTACATTGCATGTGCGTCTACTTTTCTTTGACCTGATTTTTTTGGTAGCCCACAAGTGTATCTCGTGCTACCTATGCTCTAATTAATTGTGGCGATTTTTCCTTTTCATGCTTTAGGCAGATCCAGAAACTGATGAAGTATATGCTCAGATGACTCTACAACCTGTTCCTTCAGTAAGGCTTAATCTTACATTGCATCTGCCTACTAAATAGAGATAAAAGATTGAGATTTGTGAGTGCCCGACTCAAATTGAAGTTGGTTCTTTGCAGTTCGACAAGGAGGCTTTGTTGAGGTCGGATCTTGCACTCAAAACCACTAAGGCCCAACCAGACTTTTTCTGTAAAACATTGACTGCAAGTGATACAAGCACCCATGGAGGTTTTTCTGTGCCTCGTCGTGCAGCAGAGAAGATTTTCCCTTCTCTTGTGAGTAGTTGTTCCTTGCATTTGAATCAGAGGAATTATTTCTCTACTTATGTTCGAAGGGAATGGACTTAATTTTTTGGTGACTATTCGAATATAAGGAACTTGATATTTTTATTAGGATTTCTCTATGCAACCTCCTGCTCAAGAACTTATGGCAAGAGATTTGCATGACAATATGTGGAACTTCCGCCATATCTACCGTGGTATGTCCTCATGCTGCCCTGCCCTTGTAGCTCATTCATAGAGCTGTTTTGTGCTTTCCCAATTGCTGTTGCTCTTCCTTTTTTGCCTTATAGCTATATGTGATGCAAAACCCCAGTAAACTCTCATCACAGGGCAACCGAAGCGCCACCTCCTTACTACTGGATGGAGCTTATTTGTTAGTGGAAAAAGGCTCTTTGCAGGCGACTCAGTTCTTTTTATTAGGTGAAGATCAATTGCTGATATTCTGTAATTATTTCTGAGAGGAAAAGATGTAGTTCTGTTTGTGTCGTCCGTGCTTGCATGAATAGATGGATCTGCTAACTTGGGAAAAAATTGTTTTGCTAACTCGTGCTAATTACTTGTGAGTAGGGATGAGAAACAACAGCTGCTCTTGGGCATTAGACGGGCTAACCGGCAACCAACTAATCTATCCTCATCAGTATTGTCAAGTGATAGCATGCATATTGGCATCCTAGCCGCAGCTGCTCATGCTGCTGCGAATAATAGCCCCTTCACTGTGTTCTACAATCCAAGGTCAGTCTCTATTTAATTTTTTCTCATATGGCTCAATCCAGCTTCACTTTGCCATATTACTATTTTAATAGTACTCTTAAAAGTAGTTTTGCACTCAGGGCTAGCCCGTCAGAGTTTGTTATCCCTTTGGCCAAATACTACAAGGCAGTTTACAGCAACCAAATATCACTTGGTATGCGATTTCGCATGATGTTTGAAACTGAAGAGTCAGGAACAAGAAGGTACTTTTTATTCTTCGTAATTTGCGAGTATCCTTATCAATGTTATGCATTACTGAGTAGAAACTATTGAGTTATGGCCAAGATGATTTATCTACATAACAAGGAAACCTGAGTTGATCTCTGATTCTGTTTCGGCATGTGGCTATGCCTTTTGAGGTTTTAATTATCCTTGCTCATAAATATATTGAGTACATGATAAAGCTCAAGTTTTGGAGTTTCCTTGTGTAACACTGCTAAACATAGCAAAGTATGCAACTCGGCCTGTTAAACTTTGGCTTCAGCCACTGAAGTTTTTGATAATCCCCTTCCTCAAAAAGTTAAAAACGAAGCAATTGACTAACTCTTTCAGGTATTTAGAATTAGCTTGCACTTGAGAGTGACCACTTAATGTTTGGCTTAGGTTCCAGTTTTCAGATTATGATATGTTGGCATCTGATCTGCAGGTTTATGGGTACCATAACAGGTATCAGCGATATTGATCCTGTTAGATGGAAAAACTCACAGTGGCGCAATTTGCAGGTATCCAGTGTCGTGTTCCTACAAAGTTTACTTTTTTTACCAGGCTTGTGCTCTTAGTATGGGCTCTTAGCATTTCTAATTTGAATGTTTCTTGGTCCTAAATACTTTATTTCCTTGGATAGGTTGGTTGGGATGAATCAACTGCTGGGGAAAAGCGTGCACGTGTCTCTATTTGGGAAATTGAACCTGTGACTGCTCCATTCTTCCTCTGCCCTCCTCCGTTCTTCAGATCCAAGCGTCCAAGACAACCAGGGATGCCTGGTAAAAACTAATAAAACCAAATCAAATGAATTTTGATGGAATTTTGTGTAGTATTAGGGGAAAATGAAAACAAAAGCTCTTCCCTTGTTTATTTCTTACCTAGACTAGTCTTGTAAATATCGATGCCCAGTCTTGCTTTTGTTTATTGGTTCTCCCTTGCCCATAGCCAGGGCTTACATAGTAAATACCCTTATCTTAACTATCCTACTAGCAAAAGAAAACCCAGATGAATACATCCTGATATATTATCTCTAGTGGAGAGCCAGTTCCTACTGCATGCTCATGAATCTACTGATGAATGGAACTTTGAACACATAGTTCTATGAAAATCTGACGGTAAATGAAATCTTTGAAGTTTAAAAGTAAACTCTTTCTACATCTCGTGGTAAGATTGTCTTATTAAGGGATAGGAAGATAGACTTCCGGCTGATGATGGGAAATCTAACCTTTTCCATTTCCTTTTGCAGATGATGACTTCTCAGATTTAGATAGCCTGTTTAAGAGGACAATGCCATGGCTTGGCGATGACCTTAGTATGAAGGATCCCCATGCTCTCTCTGGCCTAAGCTTAATGCATTGGATGAACATGCAACAAAGTCCTTCCTTTGCAAACTCAGTACAGCCAAATTACATGCCCAACTTATCCAACTCTGTTCTACAAAATCTCTCTGGAACAGATCTCTCACGTCAACTAGGGTTTTCAGCGCCACAAATGGCTCAATTGAACAATTTACAGTTCAATACCCAGAGACCACCCCAACAAGCACAGCAGCTCGATCAGCTAACCAAGCTCCCTTCTACGTTGAATCCACTGACCAACATCATGCAGCCACAGCAACAGTTGACCGAAATTAGTCAACAACCGAGGCAAAGTTTGATTAATCAGACTCTGCCTTCGGCTCAAGTTCAGGCCCAAGTTCTTCAGCCCCAATCTCTGATCCAATCTAGTACCCTGCTCCCACAGCAATCCTTGAATCAAAACCAACCGTTCCATAGAAGCCTTCCTCAAAGTTTACATCAGCCACAGCAGCAACAGATTATGGGTCAGAATCAGCAGCAGAGTGCATTGAACTCACAGATGCCTGATCAATCAAGCCCACAGTTACCAATGTCTGACAACCAGATTCAGTTTCAACTACTACAGAAGCTTCAGCAGCAGCAACAGTCACTTTTGGCCCAACAGTCAGTGTTACAGCAGCCAAATCATCCGCAACAACTCCAGGAGCAGAGACAACATCCAGATATCTCTCATAACTTTTCTAAGTCCATGATACCAAGCCAAATGCTGGAAATGCCTCAAAGCACACCAAGCTCACTTAGTCAGCCAAATATTATCCCCCAGCAAATTCAAAAGAATAGTAGCCAAGTGAATGTGCGGTTCTCTAATCCGTCTCAGCAGCCAAAATTCCAGCAAGAGCAATCAGGGCTGCTACCTGAAATGGTGGGGCATATGGGACTCCCACAAATTTCAGCAAGTCATGCTTCTGCTTCTGCCAGTTTGCTGACTGGAGCTGCCACAGGTGGGCCATCTGTAACTACAGATGATGTGCCTTGTTCAACTTCAGCATCTGGACAAATTTGTGCAAATATTGTCCAGTCAATGATGAATGGTAGGCCTCACCGGAGTGCATCAATTAGCGAGGACATGTCACAATCGACTGCCACTTTCTGGAATCCCAGCACATTGGAAACCATGGGGTCTAACGGTAATAACATGATGAAAGAATTCCAACAAAAGCCTGATGTAAAGCCTTCTCTGGATGTTTCAAAGGGCCAAAACCAAGGATTTTTCTCTGCTCAAACATACCTGAATGGGGCAACAACACAAACAGATTATTTAGATGCTTCATCTTCAACAACTTCAGTTTGCCTTTCTCAGAGCGATGTCCATATTCAGCAAAATAACAGCTCAGTCTCCTACAATCAGCAGTCAATGTTGTTTAGAGATACGAGTCAGGATGGAGAGGCTCAGGCCGATATTAGAAGTAGTGTTCCTTTTAGTTCTAATGCTGATGTGCAGGCTGGAATTTCTGTGAATTCTGACTCTATGTTTGGAAAGGGTATGGTTGGATTGGGCAAAGATTTTGTCAGTGACCTTCCTTCTGCTGGCATACTTGCTGATTACAACTCCAAAGAACCCCAGCAGCTCTCATCTTCAATAGTCTCTCAGTCTTTTGGAGTTCCGGATGTGGCATTTAACTTGATGGAATCCGCATTAAATGAAAGTGCATTAGTGAACAGAGGTCCATGGGGACCTACAGCTCCTCAGTTTCAGCGAATGCGGACATTCACCAAGGTCTGTTGGAAATAAAAGATAATGCTTGCTCATTAGATTTTTTCCCTGTTCAAACTACTTAGTACTAATAATATTTCTGTGAAGGTCTACAAACGCGGAGCTGTTGGTAGATCTGTCGATATCACCCGGTATTCTGGTTATGACGATCTCAAACAGGACCTGGCTCGTAGATTTGGCATAGAGGGACAGTTGGAAGATGGACAAAAAATAGGGTGGAAACTAGTGTATGTTGATCATGAGAATGATGTGTTGCTAGTTGGAGATGACCCTTGGGAGTAAGTATTTCAGTTTTCCACTGTGTAGTTTATACTGTTATGGCCTAATTTGCTCCCTGCATTTCATTCCTTCTGGCTGGTGCTGTGTTTTTTAAAACCATTTTCGTTACATTATTTTGCTTTGATTACAGTTTTGTTCTTCAATTCAGGATGTTTCACTTTGATTGTTGAAATTAATTGCAATGGCTGATTGTTTTTACATATATTAAACGTAAAACTAGCTATAGGAATTGCTTTGTCCTGACAAGTGCATCATTGGCATCTTTAAAGTGCTAAGTGCCAAGTCTCAAATATGACTTCCTCCTCTCAACAATTCCAATTTCTCACATTTGGTTTTCTTCTCTGTTCCAGGGATTTTGTGAACTGTGTGCGCTATATCAAGATTTTGTCCCCTCAAGAAGTCCAACAGATGAGCTTGGATGGGGAATTTGGAAATGCCGCCCTTCCGAATCAAGCCTGCAGTAGCTCAGATGGTGGGATCGTGTGATTTACTTCTGCAAAGGCACCTTTAGCTTTTTGTTTGGCAAAGATGACTTCTATTGCTTCTCGGAATCTCGTTGCTGGTTTTCCTCTGGCATATGTTATGCCATGCCTTGTCAAGTCACGGCTGACCAATATTAGATGCAGCACAGTGACATAAAGATAGGCTTCCTGACGTTCCCTTTTAACGACAATGGCGACCGCGTGCGCCCTTTTAAGCTGAAACCGCAACGACTTTGGTACTGAAAGAGGCTTGCAGGTGCCATCAGTGTAAGTCTGTTGATGACTCTTAATCTTAACTTGTTAAAATTTCCCTAAGTGTTTATCCATATCCAGTTTATATGGAAGGAATGCGTTAGTGCTCACAGTTCCTCGGACTTGTAATATACAGCTGTTGTTTAGACAAATAGGTTGGTTTTGTCATCCTTTTACTTCGTTCTCTCCCACAAATCTTGTATGACGTAGAGCTTTGACATGTATAGAAGAATGTTAAATTGATTGTCGGCTGTTAAACTACGTTGCCTGTATGACTCATAGTTGGGGTAAAGCATTGTTGCCTCGTGTCGATGGACAATGGGTGGGCCTGATCGCAGGTGCGAAGACAAGTCTCACACATAAGATTGTCATGCCCTCGATCTCTCAGCCGTTGGACATGTCAATCCGTATTAATCATCAAATATCAGTGTTTAAAATGATCAACGTGCAAAAATGTCCATTTGTTTCCATCCGTTGCATTGCCAACTGCATTCTCTGTTTGCTCTTGGAACCCTAAATACTTACTTCCTTGGGCAAGAAGGATGACGGAAGTATTCGATCACGGTACTTTGTCGAAAGACGCAATTTCTATCGCTTATCATTCATCATTCTCTATTCAATTCCTTGATTGAAACCGGTGTTTCCGGCTCATTCATGTGACGTCCATCCTAAGTTTACAAGATGATGTTGCGAGTTCAACATCATCAAAATTTGCATGGAAAGCATCAATGGGCCATGCGTCCAATTTACTTGCCCATTTGAGGAAATGGTAGCTTTTCATCGAGATTTTGCATGGAAAGCTAACGAGACGGCGACGCAACAATTTAAGTCCTAGTATGATAATGGCTTTCTAACGATGATAACCTATTTTTACCTGTCTCTCTTTGTAAAGGGAGGAAAAGGGGAACAATACTAAAAAAGTCTTAAACTTATTGCAATTATATTACTACAATCTTAAACTTTTTTTTTGCTAATTGAGTCCTAAACTTTTTACATTTGTGTCAAATTAGTCCATCAGACCAAAATTGGCTAGAAATCCCTAATATAGATACCGCTCGTTTTACATGACGCGGTCAGCGTTGACGTGGACAAATTTTAATAATATGTTATTATTATCTTTTCTTTCTCTTTCTTTTTTTTTCATTCCCTTCTTCCTTTGGCCAGCAAGGCTCACCCTTGCCAGTGGCTAGCGAGGTCCGGCGATGAGCTAGAGGAAGAAGGGAAGGAAAAAAAGAAAAAGAAAAAGAAACAAAAAATAAAAAATTCGAGAAAATATTATTAAAAATTACCCATGACAGCCATCCATGTCAATGATATCCGGTCAAAATTGGTCGGATGGACTGAATTAGCACAAATGTAAAGGGTTTTAAGACTTAATTGGTAAAAAAAAATTTAAGACTGAATTGGCATAATTTGTAACAGGTTTACAACTTTTTTTGATGATTTTCGCAAAGGAAAAGTCAAGAAGACGAAAGCACTCAACAAGGCTCAATCAAAGCCAATTAGGATGTCTGATTGAGTAAGATATAAATACCAAAATTAGGGTTGGCTAACGGCCGTGTCAGCCCAGCAGGGATGGGCCCATGCTGGCATGGTACCTTGGGCTGACCGAGGCCTGAATTCCTATTATCCTGGATACGGTCTCTAGGAAATATTTGATGGGTCTTTGAGGCCCCTACTATCATTGGACAATAACCATCTAGGAAAAATTATCTGTAGATTGACGTCCTCTCTCTTTCATGTGCATCATTCCTCGTCTTCACTCGCATATCACTTCTTATTGCTCTTACTCTCTACTACCGTGCATCAATCTCGTACTTTTTTTTCCCATTATAACGATTTATCACGCTCTAAATATCACAATGGACAGCAACAACCGTTTTCGATTATTCAGCCATAGTTCAGACTTCGCTAGGCAAAACATGTTCGAGTCCTTCGATGAGTTTTGTGATTTTGAAGTGTACATGTCTGCCTCCACTTGGGTAACAAGACCCATTCGATGACCAAGAGACACAACAAGTGGATGATTGAAAGAAATTGCAGGGGCGAACTAGTCCTCGGATTCCCTCCCAAGATGCTACCTCAGACAAAACCCCTACCGTCAAAGAAACTCCAGAACAACTGCGGTGACTGCTTTGCAGAGAAGAGCGTTCGATGTCTAGAGGACATTCCAGATTGAGATGAAGCACAATGAGTGTCAAGAAGACCGTTTGCATGAAATGTGGTGCCAAATTTTTTGGTGAATGCGTAACTGGGACTGGCCACTTGAGAAGGCAGCATGTCTAACATGATGTAGAGATGGCCGGGGCTAGGGGGAGCTCTTCAAATACAACATCGCATGCCAGAAGCCTGCTCAGATATGACGAGGCAAGGAATCATAAGGAACATGAATTTTATTGTCTTCCTGTTGTGCAACCTTTCAGCTTCGCGGAAAAATACCCGGTTGGTCCACTACGTACAAATCATGTCGCAACCTCAGTTTAGGCCCATTCCATGAACAACAAATACAAGAACATACAAGTTGCTATATAAAAAGAGAGGCCAAATACCAAAAAAAAAAGCAACAACTTTAGATCGAGTGACAATTCTGGCCCTAACTTTTTTTTATCTCATAAAAAATCACAAACTTTCACTTGAATCCCAAATCTGGCTCCCTTTGACTTAGAACCATTGATTATCTAACTTGACTATTTCACCTCAGCAATAAATCCACGTGGCTTGTTGACTGGATTTCAAGCACTATTCATTATCTTCTTCTCTGAGCCACATCTTGAAAAATAACGGTGAAATTGTTCATCTCCTTCACTTCACTGGCAAATCAAAAATATCTTCAGATTGAATCTCTTTGGTCAGACTTCGTCGTTTTGTCATAGTTTGAAGTTGTAGACCACTGCCCGTCAACAGACGCCATGGACGAAATCCGCCAAACTCACGACCGTAACCTTTTTTCTCAAACAAGGGTAATTTCAAACATAAAGTCAACGGGGGGTTAGATTTGGGATAAGGGAGAAAGTTGATGATTTTTTATGAGACAAAAAAAGTTTGGGCCAGAATTGTCACTTGACCTAAAGTTTGTATTTTTTTTGGAATTAGCCCTAAAAGAGAAGGACGGTGTTGGTGCATCTTCTTTGTAAGTGTATCTTTCGAGTCTCATTTAATTAGCCCTGACAATTATGTGTATTGTGTCATCACGGGCCATTTATTTGGTGACATTGAGAATCACGCGACTCAACTCTGATGTTTAAAATGCCACAATTTTCGCATGATTCCTAAATGCCACCACGAAATCATGTTTGCTATTATGTTTCTAGCTTCAATTCTTCCGAACTTTACACTTGTTTTGGTTCTTCCAATTGTCTTTTGCATTTCCCACAACATTACTTAGTAGATAGGTGGTAAAGTTCCATGTGTTGTGGCTAACTATGTAACCTAAAGGGCAGTGAATATGTTGTTTAAAGATTAGGACAGTCTTTTGCGGAAATGAACAACTAACACTGGAAAATCAGTTAAGACAGATATTATTATTAGGTGTGCATGATGCTATCAGTAAGATAGCACACAACATATTGGTTTTATCTCCAAGCTTACGTACACTTTCTAGACTAACAGTCACGACGTGAGCTAGGATCCAATAGTGCTCTCCAAGACAAGTTACAATTAGCAAGTATTAATCCCATCAATAATAGATCACACTATCATGACTCAAATATTGTTATCACTTTTGTACGCTTCATCTTATCAAGATTAAGAGCAGCAAGAACACTATACTGGAAGTATCATACGAACATATCCCACTTTTATCAGTAGAGATAACATCAATGAACAGTGACAATTTTCTTTATTTTTAGTCCAACCCCTTGAGCTTCATTAATCCTCATATATATAGACATCTTTAATCTCCCCATTAGAGATGGTCTTGAGGAGCAAAGAGTCAATGAAAGTCGTTAGAAGCTGCTTGTCCAAGAAAATGATCGCCCATATGACGTTTTTCCTCGAACATCAACATGGTTTCCCAAAATGGAGTATGTTGGATTTGTCCCATTGTCGGATGCTCTGACAGTTTGACAAAAAGCTATCAGCCGTTCTTTGACGATTTCCAATTATCCTGCTGTAGTCTTTTGGTTGCTAACGGTTATAATCTTTGTCTCAAAACATCATGTGACATTAGGAATTTTCGGTATCCAATAAAACTATTAAGTTGTAAATTTAAGCATTATTTAGATTAGAAATTGGGTGGACATGTAGAAATCTTAGTTAGAATGTAAATTTTATGAGGTACAGTAGACGCAGAGATGATTTTTCCGCAAACATAATCGTTCTGAGTTTGACGTATTGAAGACTAAAATTTTAAAATGTTGATGTCTACGTTAATAGTAGAGCGGAGCTAATTATTTTATCATTGTTTTAGTTGTTGATGGGTGGTATTATTTATTTAAACTTTAGTTAATTAGTACTAATGATTAATTACTTACATTAATGCCCCCCAAAGGTAAAAGAATACTGTTTTTATTATAATTATTCACAAATATTTTGGATTAGGACACAAACACATCACGTGGCATTTGAGAATAAGTGCTTGGCCGTATGCCTCATTTATATACTCAAACTTTACCACCAATTTTGATACATATCCTTGAGTCATCGTTCTTATTAAGCCACCTTAGTAAGCCACTTATTTGTCTTAAATAGCATGAGAGCCACTTGTGTTATCTTTGCATGTCAAGACTCTTTTAATCTTCATAATACTCACATGCCCTTATAGGGATACATGCAAAGCCATGTATCTCTACCAAAGTGAGACCTCATGCTAACTTAACACCTAAAGACCAAGTGTCATCACCATAAGGCATTAGTCGTCAAACTCTTCTGCACTAGGCCATATAACCTCGCCACATGTAAATGGGAATGGAAAACCAACTTACATCTAGACATATTACCCCAAGTGGATCTTCTGGTGACCTTAGTAATTCAAACTCAAATTTTACCCTGGCCGTGTCACTCTATTTACAATCTTCAGAAGCAAATTTCCTCTACTTTTGATCTTGGAGTTTATCTTTCAAGAAACAGAAGGGGGTTAAGGCATTTAATTGTCCGAGTTTAGTTCAAAGGTAAGTGAAAACTCTAGACGTTAAGTTAGTTCAATCTACTTAACACTTTTAACTTGGTTGGTTGAGATGTGCAATTTTGATGTGCTATAATATTGTGGATATGGTGATTGTTGGATTCCTTTTACTGGTCCCGTACATGTTCAAAATGGGGGT